CATGGACACAGACAATAATGGGGTAAAGGCCTGGAGAAGGGGTGGGAACGATGTGGAGGGGGTCAGTTGGGAGGGGGGAATGGGACACCTGTAATACTTTCAACAATAAAGATAAATTTTAAAAAATTAATTAATTAACAAAAGGGAAGAAAAATAAATAAATGAAGTTTTTCTGAGCAGAGTTTAGTGCCCCCTGGGAGCTCCCTTTGGATCCAGCTCTTCTGATGACTGCGGCTGACCGTTCTGTCTGCCCATTCTGGGCTTCCCAGGAGATTCTTAGGTATTAACCACTGTCAGAAACTGTCCTCTTCTGGCTTTCAGCAACCTGTTTGAAGCTCCAAGCGATCCACAGTTTGTGTCTGTCTCAACAGGACTTCGCTGTGTGCAGAAGGGGCCCAGCTGCACTCTAAGGCTGGTTTGTTAGCAGCATGGGGCCCAGGGCTGGGTCAGTAAGCTTCCCCAGGTTCCCTAAGGTCCGCCTCCACCCGCCTTCACCTGCCAGCCAGCTGTCAATCTTAATTACTCAAAAGTCTGTTTCTGAAAGGGCTTTAGGGAAAATCGGGAGTATAGACCTCTGGGTCTCCTGTGACAGGGAGGTGCTGTTCAGATTTCAGGGAAAGTGGTGGTGTGTTTCCCCATCCCAGAGCTACTCCTCTGAGCGTCCCAGTGTATTACTCTGCCCTCAGCTGGGCAGAGATCCTTACACGCAGCCCAGTGGGATCAGGTGGATATTGGGAGTTTCTATCAGCTTTCCAGTGTGGGGGAAGCTCCCATCAGATTCCCAGGACAGCAGGGTGGATGGCCCCTCCCCCAATCCAATCACTAAGGCTTACTGAGACTGTTCAAATTGGGTCACTGATGCAATTACCTCTGCAAAGATAGAAATGCAGAGTGTGGCAGGCAGGGTTCCTGAGGGTGTAGAGGGCTGTATAGCCTAGGGCAGGGTGGTTCCTGGGAGAAGCTAGTGCCTCTCAGGAAAAATGACTATTTCAATTTGGGGGGTACGACCAAATGCTGCTTTTCCACATCTCCCCCCAATGCTTCTCACCCCAGCCTCTCCTTAGGCACCTCAAGTCTGCACCACCCTCCCCCCATCAAAGCCTCAAATGAGTAGCTACAGATGAATTCCTGTGCTCTGGGTTTAAAAACCAAATAACCAACCAAACAAAAAAAAACCCAAAAAACAAAAAACTAAGACTTTAATTCAGACAGGCTCTGGCCTCCCCTGAGGCTAGCAGCCTTGCAGCCTTTCATGGCTGGATGTTATGTGAGCCAATGGTCTCAGCTCTGGTGCTCTGGGCTGTGGAGCCCAGCCTGGGTTCTGGGCCTCGATCTTCTCAGAGAAATAACCCTCCTGTAGCCAAGGGATCCCTCCTCACTCTCAGTCTGCCACCCATGGAAGCTGGGTCAGCCTCTGTCTGGACCTTGCCCTTCCTATCAGTCTCCAGGTGTTTTCTGTCCTTTCTTGATATAAGCCTCCTCCTCAGCTGGACCTCAGTTGGTAATTCTGGGTGAATGTTCCCCAATTTAGTTTTATTTCTACTCTGGCCCTTACAAATGTATTACAAGACCATGGCCTGTGTGGCAAAAATTCTACAAAGTGCCTTAAACTTAGATGAAACGCACTCAGGTGATGAATCCAACTCTGACCTCTCTGCACAGAGGACGCCTGTCTGCAAGTCTCAAGCTTGGAGACTAGGGTGGGTGGCTGAGGAGGGGGTTTCAGACTAAGAGAGAACCGACAGAGGACTGCAGAAGGCAGGTGGGGAGTGTGAGCCTTTGAGGGTGGGAAACAGGGGAAGGTGAGGAACCTAAATTCCCTTGTTTTCCTTAGTCCATAGGGTGAAGTTATCCATTATGTAATAGTTGAAATAGCCCCCAAATCATGAATTTGTAAGTAGATTTAACAACAAGCAGTGTGGTTTTTCCTCTAAAACATTTCCTGCCCACATTCAGAGTAGGGACAAATATGATCTATTTTTATACAGTTAACAAATAAATTAGTGTCAGCTTTTCTCAAGGACATCAAAGGATAAGATAAAGGCCAATTAGAAGATTCATCTCAAAACATATTTCACACAAAAACTTATACATGAATGTTCAAAGCAACACTGTTCAAAATAGTCAGAAGTAGGAAACAACCCGACTGTCCATCAACTGATGAAGAGATAAACAAAATATGGCATATTCACACAATGTAATGTTATTCAACAATAAAATGAAATGAAGTACAAGATGACCCTTGAAAACATTACGCTAAGTGAAAGAAGCCACATAAAGGACCAAACACATAGTGTATGATTCTATTTATATGAAATGTCAGGAATAGGCAAATCCAGAGATAGAAGGAAAGTAGATGTAGTTGTCTGGGGTGGGGTGGGGTTGGGAAATGGGAAGTGATTGATAATAGGTATGAAGTTTCTTTCGGGGGTCATAAAAATGTTCTAAAATTGATTGTGATGATGGTTGCAGACCTCTGTGAATATACTAATAATCAATGAATTGTTCACTTTAAATGGGTGAATTGTATGGTATGTGAATTATATCTCAATAAAGCTATTATAAAAAATTATTTGGTTTGTGAAGGACATTTTTTGGTTTGTTTTCTAAAATTTTGTTTTGCTTTCTACGCTTTTTCATAGCAAAAAGATATAAAACTCTTGGGATCTCACAATAGCTTCACTTAGTACTATGTTTTGAAATGCCATTTTTATACCAGGAACTCAGTTTATATGAATATATGTCTTAAGATGGAGATCAAAGATTTCTCCCAAACTTTAAGACAAGCAAACTGGATCCACTTATGGGACATAATCTGCCAAATTGACACTTCTTAGATCCTAATCAGGAGAGCACTTAATGAGTTTTACGGCAAGGTGCAAACTGTTGAGACATGAAAAGGCACTGATGCATCTGGCACTGAAAGGCCGATTATGAGAAAAAAAACAGCAGTCACTAGGGCAGTAAAGGAGAAAGAGCTAGACAGTAAGGGAGAAAGAACTAGATTAAGAATCAGAAAGTTTAGGTTTACCACTCTTCAGCTAGATGACGTGAGGTAAGTAATTTAGCTTTTGGTTAAACTGAAAAGTTCTCTTTTCTTTTTCTCTTGTAAAAATACTGGTAGTAAAGTAATAGGTGAGTACCATGATCACATTCATATTACAGACAGGGAAACTGAGGCAGAGAAAAGTTATGGTGTTTTCCTCCTTTCCCAGCCAGATATGGCAGAGTTGAAATTCAAAACCTAGCAAGATGTCTCCAGAGCTATGCTCTAACCCATTTCACTACACTGCCTTTGCCATACCCCACACTCTGGTCATCTGTCCCAATTTGCACAAACATATGTTTTTATAGCTGATGCCTTTGCACGTTATTTCCTCTGCCCAAGTTTGCCACCTAAACTATCAGTCTGATCAAGGCAAATTACTTAGCCCCTCTCCGAGAAAAAATTTTCTTTATGTAACATAGAGAGGCTAATATACATAAACCCCTCAAAGTACTGTTACAAATATTAAATTGAGGTAATGTATGTCAAATGCCTGACATACCAAAGACATTCAAAATGTCAGTCTCTAGTTGCTTGCACAGGTGACACCAGTACACAGGAGGGCATGCATCCTTCACAGCTCTGCTTAATCATTTTGATGCCTTTCTTGTCCCTTGTTCATTGCCCTGGCAGTGTAATTCTACTTCTCTCTTATTTTTACTCTGTCATACACCACATTATAACTAGGACAGACCATCAGCCAAACTATCTCCTAAGTAGTTTTCCTGCTTTCCAGTTTCCCCACCTCCAATTCATTCTTTATGGCACTCAGTAATTTCCCTACAGCCCAAATCTGAAGATATCATTTCTCAGCTTAAAATCCCTCATCAATTCCTGTTACTCCTCAGATAAAGTCCAAATTCCAAAAGTGGGCCTATAATGCCCCCTTTTACCTCTCCAGACTCATCTCTCTACATTCCCCTTCCAAACCTCATCACATCATACTCTCAACTGCAGCCATTCTGAACTTGCCAGCTCCTCTTCCTGAATCAGGCTCTATGTAGCTTAGACATCACTTTCTCTGGAAAGCCTTCCAAACCTTCAACTCTGGGTTAGGCACCACTCTCCATGCTCTCTTGGCTATTTAAGTGTATGAAGTCTCAATCAGAATAAATGCTTCATGATGGCAGGAACCTTGTTAATACTGTACCCTAAATGCCTAGAACAATGCCTGATATATAGTATATACTCAATACATATTTTCTAAATGAATGAATGTATGAATTTGTTTGAATGTACATCTATTTCACCATTCTGTGGTACAATCTTCTGATTCATATAGCCCAGGATCTAGCAATGCCTACCCATTATAAAGTAGGCACCCAATAAATATTTATTCATTACTGGGCTTCAGTGTTCTCATCTGAAAAAGAGACATTTAATTCCTTCTCCAGAAAATTATTTTCCTAAGTAGGAAAGAAGACTAAAAAGGACATCTAAAATGTACAGGAATATTTATGGAAATGGTAACTTCAACTGGCAGAAAGTACGCTCTAGTAAAAAAAGTATTAGCTTAAGTATATTTTGATCCAATTTGTTTCCATTAAGCTGGCTATTTACATTTCCCCTTATCACTAGATCAATATAAACTGTGAAATGGAGGCAGAGTAGGGGTGTTGAGTAGCATCCTTGTCAAAGGAAGAGGGTAGGAACTAAAAATAAAACATCAAAAAAGAAAGAAATGGTCATATATAGTAGCTAATGCTGCTGATATTTCACACTTGATTCAATTATCTTATTTTTCTTAGGCAATAGGATAAATACTACTATTGTTGCCAATGACCAATTCTCAGATGTCAAAGACGTCTAACATTGTCACCTCTGTAAAGCCCTGAGCCACATTACAAGCAATTTTGAGTCATCTAGACTGTTAATCAACAATGAAAGAAAGTAAAGTAAAAGATTATAAATGACTAAAACAATTAATTGCCTTAAAATAATAACCAATCCTCACCATGTTTTTGGAGAATTTCCTGAAGATCTGGCTTGGATGCAGTATCCAAAGTGCTTTCCCCATCAACACTTCCTTCAGTATCCTCTTCTGTAGCAGAAGAGCCGACTGAGAGAACATGAAGTTTGGTTTCTGAATCCTGAGCATCTGGCTTCAGGAAAGCAGCTGGACCATCAATGCCTAAGGGTCAAAAGAAAAAAAGAGAAAGCATAATTCACCATTTAGCTATGTGGGTTTGGTGTACGTGATCAGAATTAAGAGCCACCAAACCACTTCACCTCTCTTTCCTTAACATCCACGAGGACATCTGTTAACAGAGTAATCCAGGACTGGTGTTCATTTTATTAACATGCTCTGACTCTTCCTAAAGTGAAATGTACTTGATGCTGCCTTGAGAAACTTAAGAATGAGACTATGAAAACAAAGTAGGTCCTCCAAAGTTCAAATCCCATACAATAGCTCAGGGAGCTTGATTTAGAGGCTCTTAATCCTAGTCTTCCTTCCTCCTCTCATCATCTCAGATGATCCTTTGAGTCCTATCTATCAGAAGAATGGATGCTCTCTACCTACTCCTGGCTTCAAAGTTAACTCTGTCACGATGTAAAAATCAAGACTAAAAGCTCCTCAAATAGGCTATCCTGGACTAATTCATTTGGCATCTAAAAATAACAGTGCTAGGTAGGTATAAACTTTACCATATCTTCTGTTTAAACCATTGCTTTTATTCTAACTTGAAGACCCAGAATTTGATAATTTATGAAGGTACCCTAGTGACAATGCTAATATTGTTTCTTTGATCCATCTAAGAATCCTCCTGACTTCTTCTGGGTTTGTAAAAACTGTACTCCAGCAGTGAGAGATGCTGCCTAAATACACACCCTGTAGGATGACATTGTTGTGAGGGGTACGAGGTTCCACCAAAGGAGTGTGCTCCTCACTACCTCTTGGCTTTGACCGACGTATCCTGGCTTCCGGATTTGGTTGCACCATGAGTGGCTCAAGGCGCTTTTTCCTCTGCTTCTTCTCCAGCAGTGCTCTCTAGGAAAAAATTTTGATATTATAGGCCACAGAGTTATGACCAGACCTATCTACTTTGAACATTTACAGTGTTTCACTGATCCTCACACAAAATCCTTGTGATTTAATTTTCACACTTAAAAAATGAAAAGCCCAGCTGGTGTGGCTCAGCGGTTGAGTATCGACCTATGAGCCAGGAGATCTTGGTTCAATTCCCAGTCAGGGCACATGCCCAGGTTGCGGGCTTGATCCCCAGCAGGGGCCGTGCAGGAGGCAGCTGATCAATGACTCTCTCATCATTGATGTTTCTGTCTCTCTCTCCCTCTCTTTGAAATCAATTAAGACATATTTTAAAAAAAGAAATGAGAAAATTGAGGTACAAACAGGAGCAAGGATTCATTTAATAAATATTTATTAAACACCTAAAAATATATATTTTAAATGATACAAATGCATTCCTAGCCAAGCTGAAGACCATGATCCAAGTCTATTTAAAATACATATAGTAATTGTCATATTATTATCAACGCATGATCCCAAGTTTAAACTGTATAAACATATAACCATGGGTAAAAAAGATAAACGAGCACAAAGAAACATAGTCTTTGGGTAGTAGAAAAATAAAATTTATTATCATCTAAATCCCAAATTATTTTCATGTTTTATTTAGCAGAAGAACAGTAAGTTTTGCTCTCTTGCTCATTTTTACATATTAATCAAACAAATTATGGCCAAGGAATAGCACTTGGAACATTCCAAGTAGAAAGCAATAAACTCTATGCTATGGATAAAAGTAAAATATAGAACATGGTAGTGAGAAAAGTCAGGGGAAAAAATATTCAAGACTATGAGAAAAAAACCAACAAGATGGAAAGGGAGGTACTAGACACATACTATTTTTAAGCTTTGGCAAATAAGAGCTAATAATACATAGAAATTATTATGAATAGGAAAGTACCAAGTCCCAAGCTAAAAAATTAAGCCATTATTTAAAAGCAAAGATATTATAACCTACTTCATTGTTTCTTAGGCAAAAAGCCATCTATTTACTTTTTTTCATTAATATTGCTTTTCAAAAGTGCCACTAATAAGAAGAGTTACTCCAAGGGGTGAGACTATTTGCAGGAAAGTGCTTTTCCTGAACTGGTCTGATGAAAGCTTGCAGGTAAATTCAGAAGACACAAAAAAACAGAACTGTTCTTTTTTACCCAGCCTTGTTTATAGCAGGTTCTCAAATAATATTGTTTCATTATAATGTCGAAGGGATGCATAGGAACTTAACTCTTGTTTATATCAATTAGCCTATGGTAAAACTGGTTTTATTAAACATTGTTTCGCTTAAAGTTGCAGAACCTATCAAGGACATTAAGTGAGGACATACTGTATAAGGAAAAGACTGGGGACCTAAGATAATGTGCCAAGAATGAACAGAGAAATTAGAGCAAGCTGGGAAGGAGTACATTTTGAGATTCATGAATTAATATGAATAGATAGACCTTAATGTACCAGGAACACTAAATACACAGGAGACTATAATGAGGTCCTCCTCATAGAACTCGATGATAAGGTTCTTCTAGCAAGTAAGAAGTCTTACCTAATGGCTAAGAAGTAACCTGCCTGAAGATATGGTAAATATGAAGTATAAAGACATGAGAAACTGCCACATCTTATCTACGTGGCCACAGCTATTTAGTGTCATACAGTCTCCTAACTGTGGAGCAATTGATGAAACAAAAACACAAGCTACAGTTAGTCCATTTTATTAACATATGTAAAGAAAAAATGTTCTGTAGAAAAGTATTCTGCTTGTGGTCTAGAAAAGAGGAACCAAAGAGCTAGAATTTGTCAGAGTGTATCCAGTCTGTCCAAGAAAGAGAAATACTGAATCTGGTAGACAAGAATATTCTCTTTACTGGAAGAGGTTACTCATTTTGAGCGCAAGAAACTATAAAAGGTTTCTTCATGGACTTGATGAACTATCCCTCAGCACAATCTAGTTTTGTTTCCTCTGATTCCTTGCTTACCAATCAGTCTTCTAATTTTCAATTTAACTTCTTAGGCATCATAGTCCTAAGAATAGAGAATCATGCACAGTAGAGCTGAATGCACACCAGAAGAATTAGAGTTCTTATTGTAAATGAATCAATTGATGTCTGGTTTCATAACTGACTGTTGTGAGTTTGACTGGTTTGTTTGTCGTCTAGAAAACGGAGCCAAAGAGCTAGGTGTCACACGTTACATCTAGGTTCACTGATAAAACCACATTCTTAGGCATGACCTGTAAAGGGCAAACTAGACTCTTGGCCACAGTGTTCCTATCAAGGTATCTGGTGAAGCCTTTCTCTATCAAGTTAAAACTTACTTATATCAACTCTTGAGCATGCCTGCACCTTTTCTCACCTTCCTTTCCCCAGCATGTGCTCATGCTCCCCCCCCTCTCCCCCCCCTCTCTCTCACACACACACACACACACACACACACGCACATACACACCCTTTCTTCCCCCAAGGTGCATACCTTTGCTTTCTCTCTCCTAAGCTCCAAGGGCCCTTCTTTTGCCTCCGTAACTTGCTTCCTGAGCCCACGCAGCCCAGCTGGCTCAGTTCTTCCATGGCTCACTTCTACCTCTGTGTCTTTCCAAAGTAAACTTTCTCCTTCAATTTGAGTTCTTTGGCTCTGAATTCTTTCTTTGCTGAACTCAGGTACTGAGGTTGCTGAACCAAGGTCCACTAACATTCTGGTGCCATGACTCAGATTGTCCTATCACATAGTGTGGCAGGATTCCAAAGAAGCCCACCTTGCAAATCCAAACTGGTGCTTGGTACCAGCAGGGGTGCATTGTGCCCCATCGGCTACTCATTGTGCATCAGGTGAACTTGGGTGAGTTTTTCTTGAAATTCCAGACCTCCCTGTTTTAAGGTAAGAGGCCCTGACTTTATTTGAGCTGTTTTTTTAAAAAAAAATCCCCATGGTGGAGCTAAATGTTAAGTCATGAGGTTAAAGATAGGGTTGAGAAAACTCAGGACAGGAGAAAAGAATGGGTGACTGGTTTTCAACTTTGGCTTTTCAATTGGAATTGCTTTCTGAAAGTCTGAACAAAATCTTTTGCTGGATAAATGAAAGCCTGAAGTCATTTGGCTCCGAAGATAAGGGGCACTTCCTCCCTCCAGCTCAAATATCAGGTATTCTTAGGCGACTAAGAATCTATGTGGAGGTGTCAAAGGGTATCCCTCACAATGTGCAGGAGCCCCTAGGGAATTCCAACTCAAGTGTAATTAAATAATTGATGCATCCAGGGATGTGTACATAAAGGTTACCCAGAGCTCCAAGTCCTCATGGTTACTCATGGTTATATTAGACATTTGAGGAGAGAAATTGAGACATATAAGAGGGATGAAATGACTTGGGGGGAGGGGGAAGCGTGGCAGCACTGTGGAGCTCAACTCATAAGCAGCACACTTCAACCCACTGCACAACATCCCTAGAAATTTTGTTCAGACTCTTCAGATCTCAAAATAAAACTAAAGTTAATTTAAAAACAACTATAGATTCAGACTGTGAACTTTAGGGTCACAGCTAGTATATTACAGAATTGAATTGAATATATCCTACTATTGTCCAAGTTTGTAAATAAGAAGAAAATCATAAAATATCTATTATGAAAATTAATAAACAGAAACTTCACTCAAATGTAGTCAGGAGGGTAGAAGAGAGCTCTCACACATGTCACTCAATGCACACTGCTGACCCCAAAGGGAAGAGACAATAGGTACCTTGCATCTCTGACAGGTGATTCTATTTCACTACCTCAGCAGAAAGGAGAAGAGTCCCCCTCTCCCAGTAAAAGGAGACTGCCATAACTCAGCCAACGAAAAGTCACTATACTTCAAACTTTCAGTGTCCTCCAACAGACTCTTCATTCACAACAGTCCCTCCCAAGTCCATAAAAAAGTGGTTGTTGCCTTTGTTTCTCTGGACTTGCCCATAGTTTGCCATTAGACCGAATGCCCTGAACTGCAGTTCCTTCTTGTTCCCAAATAAACCTATTTTGCTGGAGAAATATCTGGTTTTTGTTTAAGGTCAACATTACGTATGGGCAAACTACTATTTGGTGAAAACTGTCACCTGATTTAGCATTCTAAGCACCCTCACTTGTTTTGGATGGGGGAGAAGAGAGGTGCGCATTGTTTCAATATAACAATGTCAACTCATATTTCATTTATTTTTTATTTACTGATTTAGTGAGGGAGGACAGGAGAGAGAAACAGTGATTTGTTGTTCCATTATTTATACATTCATTGGTTGATTATTGTATGTGTCCTGACCAGGGATTGAACCTGCAACCTTGGTGTACTGGGAAGACACTCTAACCAACTGAGCTACCGGGCCAGGGCTCATTTATGTTTTAACTACTCCAAAAAACTAAGAGTGCTTTAAAGGCTGCATACACAAAGGAATCCTTACAAACTTAGGGAAAGGTCAGAGGAGTCAGGAAGAGAATCAAAGCTTCGATGCCCTATATGCAATTAAAATGTTACCTTCAGGATTAAGTGCTACATAACTTTGGAAGCTGAACAATAACTCAAAGAATCCATCTTCTCCAGAATCTGGTGGTACGCCCTATTGTCCCTGGCGTCAAAATACTGAATGGTGATGCCAAAATAAATGAGGAAATGTAGGAGACTGGATGGGGGAAGGGGGTGATTGCCATCAAAGGGCTTAATCCAATAAAATAATAAAGCTCAGGCAAGGCTCAAATGAATGATAACTTAACTTCACTAATTCTCAATTTCCCAAAGACTCCCTAGAGATGATGTGCTGGTTACATTATGACATTCTTGGAATTGACTGGTTGACTGCAAGGTACAACTGAGTTCAGAATGGTTATCTGAGATCTATCAATGTGGCTAAAAATAACTAACTTTTCTGGCACACAAAGTAAGATCATAGGAAGATAAAACTAAAAGTTTTAACTCAGAATTCTTAAAATACCAATTCAATGCACTGATGACTGCCTCTCT